CATAAAATTAATTTAATTAGCTGATAAAAAACCTGTAAAATCTTTAACAAAATGTTGAAGAAAATTATTCCATTTATAGAGCTTGTTTTTTAAGTAAATATATTCTTGTAGTATTTAGTTTTTTATTTCAAAGACATGTTTTGCAAAGTATAACTATAAATTGTTAACATTTTGTAACACCAACCAAACTTATAATTTACTTAACAAAATCATTTTCTTGGCTGTTTTTTAATACAATAAAACAAAAAAAAGTTTCGACATTATTTAAAATGAGAATACTATTTAAAATATAGTTTCCACATTATTATACTTCCTATTTTTAAGAACTCTTAAAAAAAATTAAAAAATAAAACAAATTTAATCATTTAAAAAAAAATTTAAAAGAAAATCTTTTTAACGACTTTCCTCTGAAACCCACTATTTGCATGCAAAAAATAAATATCCAAGATTTTTGAGCAACACGGATTGCTAAAAAACCCATCTAGTCTGCATATCTTGTAAACATTGCACTCAATATCATTTTTATTTAAAAATTTTGTGACGCAGATAACTTTTGGTGAATGAAGGAAAAACCAGCTATCTTTAATATTAGACTTGATTTTTGTTTTTATAATCTTCTTGCTTTTATAAAAACTAGTATTTTCAGTTTCAGTGATTCTTTGAGTAATTTGTGACAATGGATTTTGATGTTTACGAACATACTTTTTAATAGTTTTTAAGTAATTCTCAAAAATGAAAGCTGAAATTTCTTGCAAGCCAGAAAAATAATTACTAATGTCATCAGCAATATGAGTTAAATTATAAACATTGTAACTCATAAAATTTTTTCCATACAAAACAGGAGCAGTGTTAACAAACCAATTTAAAAGCTGTTGTCCATATGACACTAGTTCACCATTTTTAAAAAACTTTTCATCAACCATTATGGTCACTACTACAGATAAGGCTAAGAAATGCTGATAAATTTGGTGTGAAACAATATCTTTTAGTACAACCATGCCCGTATACAAAAGAAAGTTCTTGAACTCTGTCGCTTTCCATCGCATAAACTCACCCAGACTTTGTGGTTGTCGGGTAAACTCAGATGGCATTTTGCCATTAAGTCATAGAAGATACTCTGATATGGCTGCCTTTTGAGCAGGTGCAAGTCTGTATACATTTAAACCTTGATACAGATATTTCAAAATTCTTTTAACTACACCAAGATATACTAAATGCATTATATCTAATACAAATCCTGAAGTACTATGAATATTTTTTAGTGATAAACTTTTGATCTTTTTTGATGTTCTTTATAATTACACAAATTAAACCCAAAACCAGTTCTTAAAGGATAATCAAGTCCTTCAAATATAATACGCTTATTGACATATTGCCCAGGAATTTCGCAACGTTCACATGCATAATAACCATTATGACTGACAATAGACTTTAAAAACTGCCTTGCTGGAGCATCACAACAGAAATATTACAGAGAAAGAGGGTAATGCTTTCCCGCATGCTCCACACCATTTAAACATAATGATGTAAATTCTTCCAAAAAATCTTCCAAATATTCTTCTTCAGATGATGGTTTAGCATTTCCACAAAATATTACAACACTAAATGTTGGAGATTTTGAAAATTGACATAATATTTGCCATATTTCAACAGACGAACTTTTATATAATGGAAAACCATTGATATTAACAACCAATTCAATTTAATCAATGTTGGATAATTTATTTAAAGTTTTAAGTATGTATTTTTGTATTTCTACATAAATATACTAACCACCACATTTTATCCTAATTTCAACACTTCTAGGTGTATTTAATAACGTTCTTACATAATTGGTAATTTATTATGGCCGAATGACTGCATCAACTTAAGTAACTCGTTTGTTGCTATGTTAGAAACTTAATTGCGAACTCAATCAGCTAACATAGAATGAAATGTATCTTCTTGACGATTGTCAGAAACTATAACTTTTTCCTCAATATCATTTTCATTGCTACTCACAGATGAATTGAAAACACTGTTATTAGGACTTTCAATCATAATGCAATCATGATTCACATAAAAATCTTCACTGACAGTAATATTTTCAATAGGTACAACATTGATTTGAGAAGCTAATGTTACAATGCTTTATTGATTTTTCTCCATTAAGAAATTCTTGAAGTCATCTTTTAGAAATTTGAATTTATTAAGTTAATTAATCTGAAACAAAACAAAATATTATTTTATTAAGAAGCATAAAATAAGTCATTGGTATTTAATATCATCAAAAAAATTTTCTATAATTACATATAATAAAGTTTTTATACAATTAATTTTATATAAACTCCATTTATAGTGATATAGTTATTTATATAATTAATATAATAATATCTTTGAGAATTTTATATAGCGTACACTTGTCAGAGTTGTTACCAAAGCCAAAAGTTTCAAGACCAATGTCTATGCAAACATTTTCTTGATAAAAGACTTCAATTTTTTTCCTCACGTAATTAAAGTAATTGCGTAATGATTAATAATTGAAGAACAAAAGTTTAGTTCTCTAAATTAATGTATTTATTATAAAGGCCAAGAGCAAAATAATTAACGCTAAGGCCAAATATTTTAGGGTTATCGCCTAATATTTTGGCCTTAACACAAGGTCGAAGCCAAGGCCATGGACTAACAATTCTGACACTTGCTAGCCATATACATATATACATTATATTAATAACAGTGAAAATAATGATGTTATTAAAAATAATTATAATGAAAATAATGGTATTATTGAAAAATAATGATATTGACACAAAAATTAAGGTAATAATAATAATAACAATGATAATAATAACAATGGTATACTAAAACATATCTATACATACGCACGCACTCATCCATACATAAATAAATACATATATGTCACACATACACTTAAACATATATACACGTAAACATACATACATCCATTCACATACACACATACAAATATATATATATATATATATATATATATATATATATATATATATAAACATACAAATATATATTATATATGTATATATTATACATATATGTTTGTATGTTTGTTTATATATATATATATATATATATATATATATATATATATATATATATATATATATATATATATATATATATATATATATATATATATATATATATATATATTCATATATATGTTTGTATGTGTGTATATATATGCCAGCCGGCACAAAGACGTCTATTAGACGTCTAACGGTAACTTAAGTCAGCGTCTCAAGTACGTCTTAAGACGTCTACCTGTTAACACATTTTAGACGTCTGTAAGACGTACTGTGTAAAACGTCTATAAGAGGTCTAGTATTAGATGTCTCTAAGACGTCTGATTGAAAACTTGCCTGAGCGTCTAAAGAACGTCTTGAGACGTCTACTTTTTAACAACTTTAAGACGTCTTGCTAAGACGTCTAATAGACGCTCACTCAATATATTCGGCACTTAAATTATATTTAAAGTTATAGTTTATTATATTTGAGTTATTTTTACAGGTTTAAGATAATTCATAACCAAAACATAAAAGAGATTATATATTCAATAAAACATTAAACAAATTGTGTATACAACTGTCATTTTTATACAGCTCTCTTTTTTGCTCGTGCAGGGGCATTTTTAAGTAGGTTTTGAATAGCTTGATAAAACTCATTTTTCGTCATTTTCGGGAACTTGAACGTCACTATTTCATATACTGTGTTGTAATTCTTGTTTAACCCAAAAGCTAACTTATTTCGACTTTTGGTACTCTTTATTTCACGCATGGCAAATCTTTTCATTATGTACTTAATCGTATCTTTGTAATCAAGCCCTTTAGTTTTACAATCTAAGAAGTAAAAGTCACATTAAACTACCAGTATGTAAGAGCCTTAACACACACACACATATATAATTATATAAAATAAATTGCATATAGTTGCATATAATTATATAAAATAAGTTTAAGCAAACACCATTATTTGATACAAATAATAATACCAGCATATTAACTAATTTTACTTTTTGTTCAAGTAATGAATCCATTTTCATATTTTCTTCATACAGGATAAATTTTTTTTTCCATTTTATACACTCAATGTCAAATAAAGATATGGAGGTTGTGGAGAATCCATTTAACAACTTTTTTGGAATGCCATGAACTTGTTGTTGAAAACCTAAAAAACATAACTATATAATGTACTTTTATCATTAAAAATTATATTATACAGTTCAAACGATTTTGAGACAGTTCATACAATGTTCTCAATTTATTTTATATTCGAATTTAGTATACATCATAAAATATTAAATAAATTTAGCTCCCTACTATTTAATTTTATCGAATTCTCTCGCAATAAATAACCTTCTAATTTTCTTGTCTACCTTTTTTTCTTCTGTTGTGTACCTTTTCTTCTTGTACAACTTGTGCCGGCCGGGTTATACTTAACAAGTCATATTTTATGTTTGTTTACGTTTAAGATAATTAATAACCAAAATATAAAATTTACCCACAGTGCAGATGGGATATAACCACAGTCCACATTTGCCCAAGGCTAAACAGGATAAGTGGGCCAACAAAATTTCTAAAAGACAAAAAACTCTTTTAAAATTTTTATCAGTAATAATATTTTTTATATTAACACTCTGCTGTAAGTAAAAAAACCTGTTGAGTCTTCTCACCAGTCATTCAAATTTGCAGGCACTCTTAAAATAATAATAGCATTAAAAATAATTACGATAAGAAGAATTTTATATATATATATATATATGTGTGTATATATATATATATATATATATATATATATATATATATATATATATATATATATATATATATATATATATATATATATATATATAATACTTAAAATAATAAAAAAATAAAATGCATATAAATAAACTTTAAATGTAAAACACATCCTTTACGTCTTTGAAACATACATTAGGAATGTTAATAAAGCTGATTACATATAAACTATATTTAAAATCATTTTTTGTATTTTTTTTACATTTAAGATTAATAACCATATTATATAAGAAACTTTATCTTGAATAAAATATACAATACTGTTATCATTTTTTATACGACTGCTTTCTTTTTTGATCGAGCAGGGGCATTTCAAAGGAGGCTCTGAACGACTTGATAAAATTCTTTTTCCGTCATCTTTGGGAACTTGAGCATGACTACTTTGTAAATTGTTTTGTAGGTCTCGGTTCCGCCAAAAGCTAATTTATTTTGGCCTCTGGTACCATTCATGTTCAACTCACGCATGGCAAAATCGTAAAAAAATCGCTTCGTTATGTTCTTTATTGTATCTTTATAGTCAAGCCCTCCTATTTGCATTAGTTGTACAATCTAAGAAGTAAAATTCGTATTAAACTAGCAGTATTTTAGAGCCCTAACACGCATATATGTGTGTATACCGATATATACCGATATATTAAATAATCTTACTTTTTCTTCTAAGAATAAATTCACTTTCATATTTTCTTCAATCAAAAAAAAAACTCCTCTTTTGATTTTACCCACTCAATATCAAATAAAGATACTGGAGTTTGTTGAGCAATTGAAGTCGTCGGTAAAGATAAATTATTTGATATATCTCTCATCGCTTTAACAACTTTTTCTTGAAATGCAAGAACTTGTTGTTGAAAACCTAAAAAAAAATTGTTCTTTTTGTGTTCTTTTTCTATTAATCATTAAAAATTATAATAAACTTCAAAATATTTAGACACATTTCAAACAATATTCTCAACTTATTTAGTATTAAAATTTGGATTTTGGAATATTTATTTAATTTATTTGGAATACCAAATAAATTGAGCTCCCTACTATTTAATTTTATCAAATTCTCTCGCAATAAATAAATTTAATAAAACATAAAATAAATCAACTTTCTAATGCAATTGATGTTTAAAACTTTTAAATAATTGAATAACACAAACTTACTAGCATTTGATATTTGATATGTTATGCTCGGAGCTTGAATTAACTAATCCAAAGGAAATAATTCTGCTGAAATGGGAAAAATTTAAACGGCTTTCTCTGTCTTTTTCAAAAAATAATTCAAACTCCCTATATCTATGTAGTCTATGTCTATATATATCTATGTAATCTATGAGTCAATTTAGAAATTAGTATTACATTTAATAATTAAATAATTACCATTTATGATAGCACTTTTTTGTTTTGAAGCCTTTCTTAAAATTGGAGATTCCAATGTTAAGTCGTCACAATCATCACTATCACTTATTAAACGTGTTTTTCGCTTTCGGTGTGAAGTATTATTTCCTAAGCGCCTAAAGTTTGTATCATTATGAAACACCGGTTAATCAATTCCAACTTCTTGAAACTCCATCTCATTAATGTTTTTTTCTTTCTCCTTTATTCCTTCATCCTGACTTGTATACTCACATGTCATGCACTCAGTTTTATCCTCTATAAAATATTTATAAACTATTAAATTAATACAACTATAAAATGTATTACACATCATAACATGTGTAGTACATGTTCAAGGTTTAAACATCTTATGCAGGACAAAATTATCAACAGTGCCGATGTGGCATTTGCTATGGCCCAGGAGGAAAAATAAAAGGGGGACTGTAACATCTGATCTCTTAACCTAAAAAACCTTTGAATCTTAAAGACAAAAAACAATTGTTTTATACCTATTAAAAACATATTTAAAACTTAAAACAATATATATATTTAATAAACTTGACTTTTGTTTCATAATGCTAAACATGAAAATTATCATGCAACAAATTATATACGTATATAATTTGTATGTTTGTCTTATAATATTAGGCTATAATAATAGACTACAAATAGTCATTGCTACCCGTTAAAGATTTACTAACGCTGTTATTCAAATTTCAGATAACGATCTAAATTTCAACGTTATTTCAACGTTTAATTTTAACTACTTTTTCAATAAAAAAAAGTTATAAAAAATTAACGTTGAAATAACGTTGAAATTTAGATTGTTATTTTTCAACCATAAATCAACCATTTCACAATGTTAAAAAAACGTTGAAATAACGTTATGTGCCTGCTAGATATATATATGTATGTATATATATATATATATATATATATATATATATATATATATATATTATATATATATATATATATATATATATATATATATATATATATATATATATATATATATATATATATATATACATCCATATACATATATATACATATATATATATATATATATACATCCATATACATATATATACATATATATATATATATATATATATATATATATATATATATATATATATATATATATAAACATCCATATACATATATATACATATATATATATATATATATATATATATATATATATATATATATATATATATATATATATATATACATCCATATACATATATATACATATATATATATACACATTTATATATATATATATATATATATATATATATATATATATATATATATATTAGGGTGATTCATATTTGACGAATTTTCGAAAATCAAGTTGGTCTTACCTGGAATGGTTGACCACCAATATAAAAATAATTTTAACCCCAAAAATTTTAATGTCACGTGACTTTAAAGGTCCCCGCCGGTCAAATTTGTGTACAAAAACGTATCAAACTTTAGGGGTCTGGCGGGGACCTTTAAAATCAACTCAGATAGCCAACTTTTCTTTTATATGGTATATTTTGGACTATTTATTTATGATAGAGTAAGACCAAAATGAAATATGGTGGTATTTATTCCACATAGTGTGGAGAAAGTGACGAAAAAAACGAATTTTTACATAAAATGATGCACCACTACGTATAACTGATGCTTGTTTATTTTTCATATTTAGGCCGATTTTTGAAAAATAATGTTAGGACTAAGCATTAAAAATGTTTATATAGAAGGGGCATGTCAATAGCTATCCGCCCCCCTCACCCTATTTTCAGAGATGTCTCCCCCCTCCCTCCCTCCCCTCTCCTTCATACTTTGTTAGTTGGAGACGGGAGGGGGGCAAGCAAATTTATTAAAATTTTATTGTAAATCATATTATTTAAAATCACTTTTTTTTCTTTAGAAAAAAAGACAATATAAATATTAAATTATGATAACATTTTGATGCCTGAATATTTTGGAATTTTTATTAGTTTCCGTGGTAATTTTATAAACTAACAAATTGTCGTATTTGCGGAAGACATATTGTCGTAATTTTAAATTCTCTGCTCTGTGTTCTGTGTATCTGGTGTATCCATAACATTCTATAAAAGGTATACTATCTGCGGTTATATACAAAATTGTTATTGCAAAATACATGTCATTTAATCATAGAATGAATATGAATTGTTTTCTTTAATCAAATTACTGTTTAGAAGCCAAAATGCCAAGATCAGCAAGACTTAATACAAAGGCTTATCTTTTTGAAGAAGAGGATCTTATAGAAAATCTACGAGAAATAATGTTTTCAACAAATAAAGACATTATTCTCTACTTTTAGTTTAAAAGATCTGGAGACAAAATAACTCCAACAAAAAAGCTGATTGCTTGTACCATTGGTCATTAAACAGCAAAGTGTTCTGGTCTTGGTAGCTGTCCTGAAAACTGCATTATGTTTGCAGTTAAGAAACCTTGGATAGACGGAGGATACGAGGATGGGATACTCACTGACCCATATATAAGGTAGGTTAAACAAAATTTAATTCATATTTAATGGACAGGTTACCATAAAATACACTACAAAAATTTTTGATAATATAATATTTTCTAAACCAGTTATATATTATTATAGGAAGCATATCACTGATCTGATCAACAGCTGGGAGAGTTTAAAGAAAAGTAAGTGTAAGAACTCGAAAGAAGCAGGAAATGCTAGACAAGATTTCAAAAAAAAAGGAAATAAGGTTTTTTGGATTGCTATACCAAATATCCAAGATATTCTAAAGAAGACAAGCCTTAATAAGGTCTCGTATTGTACTGATATGAAATTTTTGAGAGATCAAAAGGCCAGACGTAAAATGACTCTGGGTAAAAAAGACAAGCTATATAACCAGAGGGTTGAGAAGAGAGAACAGAGAAGATTGAAACATCCACAGTTAGTACATAGTGTTGAACAGTTTTCTCAGAGAGATGATTTAACTACAGAGCTTCAGTTTTCTTCTGAAACTAGTGATAAAAGTACCAGCATGCACTCAGATTGTTCTTTTGATTTCGAACAGCCAGGTTGATACGTCGCAGTTAGCCAAGAATTTTGTACAAGATATTGCCATGACTTCAGTTTCCAAAATATTTCCTCTAGAGATTTGTTGCATGTTTGTACAGATTTGGTTATTAATTCAGGTGGAAATGTTGAAAATTTTTTACTGTCTCAATCAACTATTTGGCGAGCACAAAAGAAAACCATCCATCAAAATGCTGCACAGCACAAAAGGGAGGTTAAAAAAGCTGCTGAGAAAGCACTTTTCCCCATAATAGCTCACTTTGATGGAAAAATTATAGAAGATTTCACTAATGGGAAAAAAGAAAAAAGAGACAGGTTTGTTGTTTCAGTTAATATTGATGGAGACATTAAGCTTCTTGGAATTCCAGCTATGGAGCATTGAACTGGAGCTGCTCAGTATGAAGCTTTGAATAATGTACTGGAAGATTATGGAATATGTGACGATGTGAAGGGATTATGTTTTGACACAACTGCCTCAAATACTGGAAGACATTCAGGAACCAATACTAGGTTCAGTCAAAGACAGGAATCTATTTTGTTAGAGCTTGCCTGCAGGAGGCATATTTATGAGCTTCATCTTAAACATTTCTGGGAGCAAATTACCTCAGGCAAAACAGCAGCTCCAGAAAATTTAATGTTTAAACGGTTTTAGACAAACTGGAATTGCATCAAGGAAACTGTTGATCCTTTCAATTTAATAAGGTTTGATATCAATTCCATCAGCAATACTTTCTTGGCTACCCAGATTGAGGAAACTATCCAGTTTTGCAAGGATGCATTAAACACTGACATTGTTCCCAGAGGGGATTATAGGGAGTTATTGGAACTTACCCTGATGTATCTGCATCCTGAAATATTTTTTAAAGTTCGAGCTTCAGGCTGTGTTTCTCATGCTAGGTTCATGTCAAAAGCCATTTACTACTTGAAAATTCAGATATTGAGTACACATCTGCCCTATGATTTGACTGTTTCCCAAAGGAAAGAGTTAAAGGCAATGGCAGAATTTATCTCGATTTTCTATTCTGTCTGGTTTCTGAGAACCTCATTACCATCAGCTGCACCATTTCAAGATGTAAAAGCTTATTGGCAAATGGTGCAGTACAAAGAACATGTAGAGAAACACAACGCTGATTCCAAGAGAGTTCTAAACGGAATTAAAAGCACAATGATGTCAATGAAGAGACACACCTGGTACTTAGATTAAACTTTAGTTCCACTTGCTCTCCTAGACCCTGACCTTTCTAATGTGGAGAGAGAAAACATTGCAAAAACATTATTCTCCATACCAGTTCCTGATCATTTTCAGCATTCAGAGAAGTCAAACTTGGTCAAAGAGTTAAATTTTAAACAAAAAGTGCTACCAGGACTTGCTCGATTAATCGGAGAGAACTCTTGGTTCATCTTCAGTTTGCTAAACCTGACAAGAACGGAGGACAAACTTTGGTTAAACTCTCCTGCTCCTATGTGGTGCTATGTTGACCAGTTCAAAACATTCTCCAATTTTGTAAGTAAACTTGAAGTAGTGAACGATAGTTCTGAAAGGGCTGTAAAACTTGTATTAGAATTTGTGAATAATGTTCACAATAAGGACGATCGTCAAGAACTTTTACTAGCTGTGCAGCAAAGACGAGATCAGCTCCGTGGGTCAGGAACCAAGGAACAGTTGCAGCTAGCATATAAAGCAATATGCAAGAAGAAGAAAAAAATAACATGATTTATATATTATATTTAACTATTGCATTATATTTTATTATGTTTACATATCACGGTTTAAATATCTATATTGCCAAGTGAAGTATTTTTTTTTAAGAAAATAAAGT